CCCCCCTGCATAAAAAGTTCCCCCCCTTGTAATTTTTTTTATACTTATCTATTTTCAAACCTATTAAGTTCAGGACTTCAACAGGACATTACAGGGGAATATTTATCCACCCCTACCCCACGAATCCCCACCTCCGGGGCCAGGAATTTATGCCAAAATAGTTTTCAATCACTGGACACAATTAGATTTGGGGAGTGATGAAGAAACGTTTTCAGCCATAGCATGTTATAGTCATTACCCAACCTATCTTCAACTCATGAAAAATGTAAAATTTCAATATGTTTTATCCAAAAATAAAGTATAATTGGGTGTGACAGATAAAAATGAAAATTAATAAAAAATGCACATTGCATATATAAAAGTCTGAATAAATATAAAAATGCAGTTGATAAGAGAGGGGATTGTGAGGAGAATACTAGTACTATCCCCTCATCATTACTGTCAGTTTAATTGACATAAATTATGATTACACAGTAAGGAGACAAATTTTGATTTATTGTAGGTGTGCCCTACTTCTACTGAACCATTGGAAGGATTTTATGTAATAAGAATAATTTCCCATGGTTGCTTTATTATCCAAGTGAGCAATACAGTCCATGTGGGCCTCTTGTTTATTGGTAAATTATAAAAAAATATTGTTTACTATGTCAATACCAACAAGAGGCCCAATGGGCCTGCATCGCTCACCTGTTATTAATCTAACACTTGTAATCTTAAGATTTCATAAGAACCTATTCAAAGATTTAAACATATGACGCCTCTGACCTTGATTGTAGAACAAGGATATAAGGTTGAAAGTGGAACAAGCTCATTCATTTGAACTAACATGATAGTCCTTCATCCCAGCATGCTACAGGCCCAATATCAGTACCCTGGGCCTTTTGGTTATTGAGAAGAAGTTGTTTGAAGATTTTACGACATTTGACCCCTGTGACCTTGAAAATTGGCCAAGGTCATTCATTTGAACAAACTTGGTAGCCCTTCATCCCAGCATGCTACAGCCCCAATATCAGTACCCTGGGCCCTTTGGTTATTGAGAAGAAGTCGTTTGAAGATTTTATGAAATTTGACCCCTTTGACCTTTGAAAGTTGGTCAAGGTCATTCATTTGAACTAACTTGGTAATCCTTCATCTCAGCATGCTACAGGGCGAATGTCAGTACCCTGGCCCTTTTGCTTATTGAGAAGAAGTTGTTTGAAGATTTTACGACATTTGGCCCCTGTGACCTTGAAAATTGGTCAAGGTCATTCATTTGAACTAACGTGGTAATCCTTCATCCCAGCATGCTACAGGCCCAATCTCAGTACCCTGGGCCCTTTGGCTATTGAGAAGAAGTTGTTTGAAGATTTTACGACATTTGACCCCTGTGACCTTGAAAGTGGGTCAAAGTCATTAATTTGAGCTTACTTGGTAGCCCTTCATCCCAGCATGCTACAGGCCCAATATCAGTACCCTGGGCCCTTTGGTTATTGAGAAGAAGTTGTTTGAAGATTTTAACATATTTGACCCCTGTGACCTTGAAAGTGGGTCAAGGTCATTTATTTGAACAAACTTGATAGCCCTTGATCCCAACATGCTACTGGCCAATTATCATCTTCCTAGGCCTTTTGGTTACTAAAAAGAAGTTGTTTAAAGTAAAAAGTTGACGCCGGACAGACGGACGCTGGACGGACGGACGGATGCACCATAACATAAGCTCACTAGCCCTTTGGGCATATGAGCTAAAAATGTTCTATCCCAATAACATAATAAAGTATTTAACTTATTAAAGAAGTTGTTCAAAATGTTACTTTGTTTCTATTAAACATAAAAAAACACCAAAAAATCAAAACATCAACTTGCATGGGTTTGTTTTATATGCTGTTTTTAATCAGGTGGTGAAACCTTATTAGCAATATTCATTCAATTTCAAATATATCATAGTTATATTAGTTTTTAAATAGATTAATTATATGTGTTGAAACTGTCACAACTCAGAGATAAGAATAAACAAGAGGCCCAGAGGGCCTGTATCGCTCACCTGAATATAATTAAAGTAATTGGTATGAAGTAAAGATATAGCACTCCATGGTAGGTGCTGTTAGTACATATGAAATTTCAGTAAGATCCATCCAGTACTTGAGATATAGAGGAACAAACTTCAAACAGAGCCCCATCCCTATGCCCTCCCCCC